TAAGGGTCACCACGTCAGTTATCTTCAATAAGCCTTTAGCTCCAGGACCTGGTGGTGGTGGCAACAGGGGACCTACAGGCTACATTTCCAGGAGTCCCTTCCTAGCGGGTTTCCAGCTGGGGTTCTGGTAGAGGGAGAATTAAAGTAGGAGGAAGGGAGATTTTTTCTTTTTGTGTGCATTCTGTATACCTTCCGCGGCAGCAGCTTCCTTATCTCCAGTAACCAACCCCCCTCTCCAGCCCTTCCATTTTGTATTTGTAAAGCATCTGTAACCAATTCCCTGCGTTAAATCCCTTTCTGCTTGAAAATCTGGAGTTGTTTTTGTTTCCACTATAGACACTGAATCATCACTGAAGACAGGGGATGACTGAGATTGCTAATTTCCTTTGGAAGGACCAAGAGTACTTGTTACATCAGATTACATCATCACTGTTTCTACCTCACACAATGACTGATAAAGAGAACATTTTAGAATAAAAGTACAAGTTTTTCCACTTTCTTGTTCACATATATTTGCTTTATTAATATATTAATTATCTTTATAGTTTCTTTGCAGGAACCTTTAAAACCATTTGTTCATTTTTGAAGACTGAATTTAGCTAATAATAGTTACTATACTCTATAAACCTCTGAATTTGGCAGCAAACCTAAAAAGCTGAAGGCTAATGATAAGTGAGGCACTGGAAGTACCAATGTCAATCCACCAGTGTTAAAAAATGTCTACTCTTCTGCTGAAAATGGCTGACTAGCACAGGGGCTGCATAAGGGTGCTAGGGTCAATCCACACAGTATTTTTAAAGCTCAATTTCCTTCTTTTATTACATGAAAAACAAGGTAAATACAAGTTCCAATATTCCCCCCCTCAATCAATGGCCCTCCTGTAAATCCTACTTTGACAGCCCATTATTTCCCAAAGTTTGTTTTTACCACTACAAAAGATGGGGGAAGGGGAATTTAATGTTCAAATGTTTGCAAAATATATGATTAAACAAATTCCAAGGTCCCCAATTTTTATATATTAAAGTGTCCATTTTGAAGAGGACACAATCAGAATCTATAAGTTCTTTTAACACTTAATCTTTTTATACAACTCCTTTTTTCAAGAAGACTCTCACTAAATTAGTGTTTCTTTCTTTCTAAAAAGATTTTATTTATTTATTTATTTATTTGAGGGAGAGAGAGAGAGAAGCAGACTCTCCACTGAGCAGGGAGACTGACCCAGGGCTTAATCCCAGGACCCTAGGACCATGACCTGAGCTGAAGGCAGACACTTAACCGACTAAGCCACCCAGGCACCCCAAGATTAGTGTTTCAAAACTTACTTTGGAAAATGCTGGCCTTGAACCAGTAGTTTCTGAAATATAATGAAGATTCAAGGCAGAAGAAAACCACTTAAAGAAACTTAACCGGTCATATCCCCTAGGTAAGGCAAGGTTTTTCAGGGCCAAGCTTTCAAGGAGGGAACATTCTAAAATATAATACTAATCACGTGTTCTTTTTGGTCCAATAAATGCTTTCTGAATGGCATTTATTAAGGTATGGTAGGTATTACATCTCAGTCTGTGAACTAAAGAGATAAATCTGAATATAACGCTTAGAAGAGCTCCATGTACAAAGTGGGGGTTCAAATATTATGAGATGATTATACATATATATTCTACATGCAGTTGACCCTTGAACAAGACAGGTTTGCACTATGTGGATTTTTTAAGTTTACTGCCCCAGCATGGAGTTTTTTTCAGTAAACACAATACTTTAAATGTGTTTTCTCTTTCCTTGTAGGAGAGAGTTATTTTCATAATAATGCTTTTATTTCTAGCTTACTTTATTGTAAGAATATAGTATATAATATATATAACATTCAAAATATGTGTTAATTGACTGTTTATATTACCAGGAAGGCTTCCAATCAAGTTAAGTTTTTGGGGAGACAAAAGTTATACATGGATTTAACTGTGTGTGTGTGTGTGTGTGTGTGTGTGTAAGGGGGTGGGGGTTGGGGGGGTGTCAGTGACCCTAACCTCCACATTGTTCAAGGGTCAACTGTATATGTAAGTTTATCTATGAGCCATAGGTGGGTGGGAAAGGTTTTGGGAGTAAATGCAAGGTGGGTTTTTCTGATCAAATGCAGGGATATAGTTTTATAAATATATATGCCATTTTCTAGCCCCTCTTTCAATTTTTGCAGAAAATTTTTTCCTTACATTTACCCTGAAAATTGTATTCAAAGAACCTCAACAGTTATGATGAAATACCAGGCTTCATGTTTATGTATTTCACCTGGTAAAACTCTGAAAACATTTCAACATCATACTGGATTTAAAATTTTATAGAACATCTTGATTATGTAAGCTCTAAGTCATTCTTGTTGAATTATGTTGATGTTTCTCAATCTTTTAAAAAATGAAAGCCTCCTTCTGATAAAAATAACAAAAGCTTTATGCTCTTTTTATAGTTGATATTACTATAATACTGAATATGTTTTGAAAGCTATGTAGGTGCCTCCATTCATTCTGATACACCACCGTGGTGGAAAAAATTCATGAAATATTCAAATAGTGCCACATGATAGATTAGAGTCAATCTTTATTTTTATATAAGCAAAATCTTTCCAAAGATTACTATATGGCTCATTGCTAATAACTACATTAGTATAATGACTCACTAGTGCAATGACAACCTTAATAAAGGCTGATACCATGAACTGCCACTTAATGTTAAAAAGTCTTTGGAGCGGATGATACAGTGTTACATCCTAATATGGAGTTCAGAATACAACATATTCAAACTCACTTTAGCGGTAAAAAGAAAATATAAAAACATCCTAAAAATACGAAATTTGGAATCTATCTTCTACACCTGCCAACTGGATATAGTGCCAATATCACTAAGAATACGAACTTACTAGCAAAGTACCAGCTTTGCTTGACTCAAGACAGAGTTTCTTTTTGCCTCATCAATGGTGGTAGGAGCTCATTATGGCCTGGTACTAACTCTTTCCCAGCTTCCTTACTTTTCTTATTCCAACAAAAAGGCTTTACTGTCCACTGTAACAATTTGACAATACATACTCACTGTGATGATTCCAACAATTCAAAAAGACTTTATAAGGTAGAAAATTAGGATAAAATCATTCTAACTCTTCTATCATCCAAAAATAATGACCATTAAAGTATTTAATCTTAATTTTGGACATTTGTTTCCAATCTTTGCCTGTCTTAAATAACAGAGAGAAACACTACTGTATATCTACCTTTGGGCCCTGTCTTTCTATGATACATTCTTAGATATAAGACTGCTGGGTCTAAGATATATTCTTTATAGTGCTTTGGACACAAATTACCAAACTTCTTTCCATCTCTTTATAGTTTATGGGAAGTATGGCCTTTCTTGTCCTTACTGTGATAAAGCAGCAGCCAAAAAGATAGACTTGGATTATCTGACACTTATTCAGCCTGTCTTCTTAAGTTTACGTTTCCCCTGAAAGCATAACCAGAGGCTGTAAACTAAAAGCCTGGCTGGATGCAAATGAACTTGGATTTGCTTTATTTACTCCACATAGCACAGCAATTTAAAAAATATTGTTTTTAAGAAGGGGCATGCACACTCCAGTTCACCACAGTCCTTACCATTTTACCTTCTTAAATTTCAGCACTCTGCTCACTGAAGAGGACTGTTTGGCTCTGTAGGCATTTGCTACTTCTCATGTAAAATAACCTTAAGAAACTCAAATTTCATGAAGTAAGTGGCCTGACAAATACTAAACTGTGACACCTAAATCTAGATACTTAAGGCCAGTCTTAAAAGGGATTGTTTCTTCCTAAACACTGTGTCGGGAGGAATGTTAAGCAACAAAGTAGGACATAAGATATCAACTGTTAATTGTTACTTGACTTAACTCAGGTTTCACTGTATTTTCAGAAAATCATCACATTTTCCCTTACATTACAGGTATTTCAAGACCCCAAATCCTTAGCCCTTTCAGTACTTCTAAAGACCTGCAGCAGCACAGCACAGTGTTAACTAAGAGCATGGCTCCTAAACCAGGCTACCTGGGTTCAACACCTGAATTGGTTAATCACTGGCTGTGCGACCTCAAGTAAGCTAACCTCTCAGGGTCTTAGTTACTTCATCTGTAAAATGAGGATAGTAATGGTAGCTACTTCATAGGGTAAGTGTGAAGACTAAACGCATCATATGAAGCACTCAGTGCACAGCACATAACATGTATATAATATGTGTGTATTGTATATTATAATATATATAGTATATGTAAGATATACTTCAATTAAAAATGGTTTAAAAATATATACAGGCAGTCCTCACTTTGCATGATAATGTGAGACCATAAAAATGCCCGTGAAAGTTGAAACTATGCAAAGCAATCTTAATAATCCATGGGAAAGGGGCGCCTGCGTGGCTCAGTCGTTAAGCGTCTGCCTTCAGCTCAGGTCATGATCCCAGGGTCCTGGGATCGAGGCCCGCATTGGGGTCTCTGCTCTGTGGGGAGCCTGCTTCTCCCTCACCCGCTCCCCCTGCTTGTATTCCCTCTCTTGCTGTCTGTCAAATAAAGTCTTTAAAAAAAAAAAAAAATCAGTGGGAAAAATTACTATTGTTCCAGACTTAGAAAATTTCTTGTCAATACATTAAAAATTTCCAGTTATAAAGGTACGGAAAAATGAAAAAAATATTAAAACTAATATTTATTAAGGACATCGTAATTTAAAACATTAAAAACACTGAAAAATGAAGTGTTTTATTTCTTTGAAAAATTTATCAAGAGTAGCTTAAACAACAGTTGCCTTCTTCCCATTGTTTAACTTAGGATACAGAGTGAACATCTTCTACCACGCGTGGTAAATCATCATATACCTTACCCAGTCTAGATAACTCAATCACTTAAGAGCAGGTGTGTGACTAAAGTCCTTTTAAAACCTTAGAGTCTACAAAACAGAAAAGAATAAAAATATGACAGAATGAATAACAACATGAAGACTTACATTATACTGATGATTAGCAACAGGTTTATAATTGGTTGTCACAACTTTGTCCAGTTGTTGTGATAGCCTTACAGGTTTGGAAGATTCTTCTATTTGCAATCTGAAAAACAAAAGGCATTATTAACAAACTTACTCATTTATTAGAGTGAAACCTGAAGTGTTATTGCTATAAATCTTCTTACTCAATATTTAACATATAAAAAGTAACCCCCAAAGCTATATCAACTTTAATATAATACTTTATGAATTTTCTTAAATTATATGGTATAAAACTAATGAAGTCATTACAAAATTCCATTTGCTTGATAAGAGATAAAGATAAATAGATAATATGCTGACACTCAGGTCTAATGGTTGCTTTATTGGACAGCACAGATACAGAACATTTCAAGCATCAAAGAAAGTTCTATCGGATAGCACTGGTATAAAACTATTGCAGAACTCCATCTAAACTGAAATATAACTCAAAATACCACCTCTGGGGAAAAGCCATAAACATATTACTTTAAATTCTTTTACTAGAACAGGAACTAAAAAGAATTTTCATTTAAAATTCCTTTAAAAAGCACAACTAGCACAACTTGCAGTATAAAAACTACCTTTTTTTTTTTTTTTTTTTTTAAAATTCACTTGAGAGAGAGAAAACTTGAGTGAGGACAGGAGCAGTGGGGAGGGTCACCGCGAGAGGGAGAAGCAGACTCGCTGCTGACCAGGGAGCCTAATGCGGGGCTCGATCCCAGCAGACACTTAACCAACTGAGCCACCCAGGTGCCCCAGAAAGTACCTATTTTTATAACATTTTATTCCTTGCATGAAGCTAATTATCTATTTCCTTCTCCTATATTTAGGTATGTAACACTGAATTACTCAGAAGAATTTAGATACATAGCAATTGCTTTTTTAAATGTAAAAGTTATAAATACTATAGGTTTTGGTTTTGCTGTGATCCCCAAATTCAGTATAGTCACTTCTGATTTGAAATAATATTTCAAATATTAAATAAATATTAAATTAATAATAAATCAAATATTAAATAAATATTTAAATTCTATTTATAAATCTGTATCTATCATTTTAATACATAAAATGATTATTTTATAAAGCATAAGAAAAGTACTCTAGAAATGTCTTCGGAAACTTACTGTATTGGTAACCATAAATCATACAATGTTACTTTGCTTTTCATGAGCCAAATACACTTTCTGTGAACCACAAAGAAAGTACTAGCAAGAGATCTAGAAGGGAGATGTCCACCCAAAGATAGACTTGGTACTTATACTCCTTCAGTGGCCTCTTAACTGTTCTTGGATGAAGCACAAGGTCCTTCGTATGACTTTATGTCACTCTGAGATCTAGTCCCTGCTTATGTCTCTAGCTTTAGTGACATTCTCCCACATCTGCTTCAGACCACAGCTGTGCCATGACCAGATTTTAGCAGAAGCCTCCTGCCGGCAATTATTCAGCAAGTGTTTACTGGGTGCCTATCTCTGCCAGGCACCGGGACAGAGGCTGGGAAGTCAGCAATAAAGAAAAGACTTACTTGAGTGGAAGAAAAACATTAAACAAATGCTTATCTATAACTAATTAACTGCAGAACTGAAAAGGAGCAGGAGGTTGGTATGATAACGACTGACTGACTGCATGCTGCTAGGAAGTAAACACGAGCCCTGGTGTGTGCACTTCAGGGTAGCTGGAGCAGGGCTGCCCATGCTTTTAAGAGGTGGGGCAAAAAAGTCAGGTGGAAATGACTCCTCCAAGCTGAGAAGACACCTTGAAGTGACTAAGAAAGAAACAAGTGAGTGAAGACAGGTGTAGGAATGTTTACAGAGGGTTAGAACTAAGTATGTCTAACTCCCTGAAGGGGGAGAAGGGGGAGATAATCAAGTGGCAGTCTGTTTCTAAACACCTCTTTGTGTTCTAATCTTAGCCTTATCCCCTACCGGAATCAGTTCTCAGGGATCTGGCCTCTTTAAATGGTAATCTATCTGTTATGTTTCCACTAAATTATCTTCTCTGTTTCAATCATCACACTCCATAATTTGATTTTATGAGACATTCAAGGAGGGAGGCATGTACTAGCTCCTTCCTCCCACATTAAACAATTGTTCCCATTACTTCACAATCTGAAAATTCCTTGGGGTTTCAGTTTGTTTAGGTAAGTGCGTCTTTATAAGTGGTAACTTATTCTTGTCATACTCTTGCACTTGAATTCATTCGCAGGCACTGCATCCTGATTCAAGTTCAGGTGGCATACACTCACTTCCTTTCAATTCTAGTGCAACAGCTCTAAAAGTCAATGCTGTCATCCATAGTGTCATGCCATTTTTAGCCTCAAAGTATCTCATCTTTTAAATTTAGAAAGGAAAACACTGAATTAACTTTTTAAAAATAAAGAGCTCATATAAAAACTTAACCTTCGTATTATGTATTTGAAATATCAACTTCAAGGGTTTTAACTAAAAGAGGTTATCTTATGATTCAAAACTCAAAACGTTAATCTAGGGGCTGAAAATCATGACATCTTTAAAGAACTAAATCTTAAAATACTTTAATAAACCTTGAATAGTTTTTAAAAAAGATTTTATTTATTTGACAGAGATCACAAGTAGGCAGAGAGGCAGGCAGAAAGAGAGGGGGAAGCAGGCTCCCTGCTGAGAAAAGGGCTCGATCCCAGGACCCTGAAATCATGACCTGAGCCGAAGGCAGAGGCTTAACCCACTGAGCCACCCAGGCGCCCCAACCTTGAATAGTTTAAAATAGGTTAGCAGGGATCTTTACCTAACATAAATAAATTAATTTAACATTATCTCAGAAAGTGTCAGAACAATTTGCAACTCTACTTCACCACTGAACCATGTACTTAATGAAACATCACTAACCTCAACATGCCTTCAAAGTCAAAATGAGGTTTTTCTGGCTTTGCACAAAACAATAAAATTTGGAAATATCTGGTCCGTAAAGCTGAAGAGCAAAGAACATATAGAGGTTGTAGGCAGGACTGATAGGAAACTAAGTTTCACTGTCCTAACCATTAAAAAAAAAAAAGGGGGTCTTTTTCAGAAAAATTTTTAAATATCGTGTTATTTTCAAGAAACTGTAACACCAAAATCATATCCTCTGATTTTTAGGTGTAGCCAGACCTTGTTTTACCTTTGTTTTATAAACCATTAAAAAAAAATACTTATGGGACGCCTAGGTGGCTCAGTCCATTAAGCTTCTGCCTTCGGCTCAGGTCACGATCCCGGAGTCCTGGGACTGAGCCCTGCATCAGGCTCTCTTCTCAGTGGGGAGCCTGCTTCTCCCTCTGCCTGCCTCTCCCTTTGCTTGTTTTCTCTTTCTCTCTCAGACAAATAAATAAATAAAATCTTTAAAAAAAATACTTAGCACTAATTACTACTATCACTTCAGAACAATTTAGAATATACTTCCATCTTAGAAAGCTAGAACAATTACTAGTGTTTCTGGAATTATTATCTCAAGATCCAATTGTATCTCTTACTTCTTCCCAGCAAAGAAAAAGCTCAAAGGCTACATGACCTAACAGCTAAAATCCTAACAAAACAATAGCTGTAACAAATTTATACAGACATTTAAAGAGCACTTACTATGTGCTGGAAACTGTGTTAAAAGCTTCACTTATATTATCTCAATCTCACTTCTTCCTTACAGTAGGCAAAAAGTGAACTAGAACTCGGAGTTTTTTTTTTACCCCAAGTTTCAGACAGTTAACCTATTAAGTCCCTAACAACATATGGTCTCTTCTATATAGTCTCCTAAAAGGCCACATAGCAGAATAAAACCGCTAATTAAAATCTCATTCATATAAAAAAATTTTAAAAATTCATTAAGTATAGTTCAAAATAAGTAATTCTCCTTAACACTCATCAACTTGCCTACAACTAGCCCAATTATACAAATACATACAGAAGGGCACATTTTCCTTTTCAACACCTAAAAAAAGATTCCTATTAAGTTAACGTCACGAGTCATTAGGCTACAACGATGGTCCATAATCACTCATCAAAATCACTTAAAGATCTTCTTCATTATACTTAATTAAGATTTACATACTACACTGGGAATTCAATTTTTAAATTATTTAGAATATTTCAGAAATACAAAATCCATGTAAAAAAAAATAGTAGCATAAGCATCTCCAAAATACTTTAAAGGATGAACACTGGTAAAATCTAAAAAAATGGGAAAAGTCAAATTCTATTGCTTTAAAGATACTAGATTGCAGAAGGGAAGTCTACAAATTTTAGTCAGTAGACCCTCCACTCACCTCCTTGGTAAGCGTAGTGCATCCCATGTAAAAGTAATTCAATAAATATTTGTTAAGCAAATGAACAAACGATACCACTACTGGACAATTAGATCATAAAGGTAAAGGGCAAAACCCATATTAAGAAATCCCGCATTAATGCCTGATTTTATACATGCAGACTATTTGCTTAAGCAAAAAACCCTAAGTAACACTGCCTTGACTAATCTGGTTATCAGTGATAGAATTAAACAACTACAAAAAAAACCCCCCCACTAAACAACAAATGTTTCTACCAGCAACTGCCAATGTAGGAGTCATTTGTGTTATAGCTGCATGTGATTTCAATTTATGCTCTTCTTAAAATGACAGGTTTCACAAAAGAATGTGTATATTCTGAAGATTTTGATTTCACTTTTAAAGGGAAAAGTAAAGCAGTGAAAGAGGTAAAGAGTGCGTCCAAGGGGGAGAAGAAGGCTGACGTTCTGCAGGGTGAGAGAGAGGTAGGTCTCGAGGCAAGGAGAAGCAGGAACAGCAGTGGAGCAATGGAACTGCCTATGAGCAAGAGCACGTATACTTGGCCCAGAGTCAGGTTAACAAAAGAGGAGTTTCGGAAGAAAGTCCAGCGTGGGGGCAGGCAGAGAGAAGGCTGGGTCAACGGCCAAGGTGCCTGTGGAGCCGATTCACTAATACGAAAGGCTCTGGTAACATCCCGTTTTAACACAGTCCACTTACTGGAAGTTTCAGTATTCTGAGAACAGGACAAAGAGAGCTTCTTGGAGGAACTGTAACAGCTGCACATGTTAATCTATTAGAACATGCATCCGAGTGGCAAT